TTATCTAGGCACTGTTGACTCGGCGATCCTCACCTTTGAGGATGGCAATCAATAGAGAATCAGCCTTAGAGATTGCTTGCATTCCGTACTGTCGGCCAGTTTATGCTTTTGCAAACATCCCCTGAAAAGAAGATGATTTCTCATAGATTGTCTTGAGCTATTTGGCGTCGTAGCCAAAATGCTGGTTCTCCATACTTTCGTTCCAATGATTTTGCAATCATTAAACTCCTGAAAAGAAGATGATTTCTCATGGACTGTCTTGAGCTGTTTGGCGTCGTAGCCGAAATGCTGGTTCTCCATACTCCGTCCATTAGGCTTGCGATGCTCCATGAAAATGACATATTTCAAATGCTCTCTCAGTACCTCCATCGACACAGCAAGGAACGGCTTTCAAGAGTTGGTAAGTTTTTGTCCTTTGGATCTTGCCTCTGTCAGTTTTCTCCCTGCTCGTCTCTCTCCAAATATTTTTTGTTCGTTTTCCTTTCTTTCTTCCTCTTAATTAAAATTTGTCTATGTCATTTTTTAAGTCTGTCTTTTCAAGTGTGTCTTTGAAGCGAGCTACACACAGTATATGACTTGAGGTATTCTACCAACCCAATAACATAGCTGAAAATTTATAGATAAATCTATTAAGCAATGAACCGTAGTGTAGTTGAACAACAAAATGAAACTAAGCCAACGTTCAGATACAAGTAACCAAGGACATCAAAGCTGTCCTCCCATTTCGTTTTCTACAAAAAAGTTGGGCACGTGTTGTGAATGCCTCCATAAAGTGAGGCGAAGTGACTTTTCTTTATCCAGCCGACCGACAGAAGGCCCAGGGGGCACCTGAGATTATCCTGGTGCAAATACATGGAAAGACTTCAGCTGTGTTCTGGCGAAGCTCAGACTTCGGCATAGGATCGGGAACGTTGGAAACACCGTCTGACGCGTCTGCCTCCACGACCCGAAAGGAGAAGTGGTTATGGAAGATGAAGATGAAGAGGACTACATTGATTCAGTTTTGGAATTCGGTTGAACCCAGAACTGGCAGACTAAACTGAACTGTTAACTGGAGGACTGGGTGTTCCATTACTCGCAAATTCACACGACTTTCCTCCTCCCGCGGTAAACAACGAGTGAAACTAAACGAGAAGTTTCAAAAAGGGACCTTGTCATTCTCGGTAATCAGGCGTGGATATTGAGACTGTAATATTAGCTTTTAGATGTTCAATCTAAACTAGCGATCCTAAACTCTTTTGTGGGAGTGTTGACCTCGACCACGGGGCAGCCCCCCCCCAAATGTCAACTTTTTCCTGTGGAGAGGCATCAGTAACGCACTTCACTGAAATAATTCTGGTGAAACAGCGAGTGAGTACTTGTTAGGCTTTTCGTCTGTGCTGTCCGAAGGGAGAGAATTATATAGGGACAATAGTGAGCAAAACGAACGCACAAATAACTCGCTGAATAGCCATGAACCGTTCGCCTGACTGGTGCCGCCACTGACGGCCATGGCTTCGCCACCCATGCGTTAATTTTATTTTTTGTCTGTAGTCACTGCCTCCATAAGTAAGACAATCCAGCTTGACAGCATCGAAAACTGGGTCAATGCCAAGTCATGAACCTCGTGAACGAGGCATGCCACAAGCGAGGTGCATGGCACATGCAATCAGACAGAAGCTGGCCTTCAAACAGCTGTATGCTTGTCTTTGCCTTGTTTCGCTGCTGACCACAAGAACGGAGACTTTGCTTTTGCGTGACACGGAGTGCAGTGCCATTATGACCTCATCGTCTGCGCCCAGTGCATCGTCCAGTATAATCTGGATTCAATGCCCAAAACGTTGTTGTTGGAAGAAGCTCAAAGACTGGCGCAAAACGAAGGGTCAGGTCTGGTCAGGGGACGATCGAAGGCTCACGCCGTTCGCCGTGCCGATTCTTTGTAGCACCTAGAGTTAAGACCCTCCCTCGACCTCTTCCCCGTTGATCTGCCTTCGCAGACCGAACTTGTGTTATGCGATCAGCTAGCAATAATTCCGCCAGCTAATGGCTGCCTATGTTGAATTTTAGATTTTACGGTTGCAAGTTGTTGTCAGAAGAACAGAAACCGCTTTAATGCTTTGCTCGCGGAGAAGAGCGGCCATAAGCGACGTGATGCACGCGATGAAAGTGTTTAGAGGCATGTTGCAAATGCTACCTCGTTTTCCAGTTTCTGTCATAAACAACGCACGAGACGCGGAATTCGTCGCACATGCGAATAAGGCTTATTAACTTGTTTTAGGTTGTCATATGTTCATTCGTTTTTCAGTCAATGATGTTAATTTTAATTCAGTTTTCCGATTTGTCTTATGGAAAACATTCATTTGCTCTGCTATGACTGCTGGAGTTTCACAAGCTATTTGGGTCTTCCGGTCGACTTGAAGGGAAGCATGGCCTTGAAGGGTGTTTCCCTGCGTTCTAGAGGATACTTTTTAGGTGACTACACCACTGCGTGTCGATTACGATGCGGACTCGTTAGCATATGGAAGTCAACTCGTGGTTTGGTGACCAAACAGAATTTGCTTTGGATATCACGGAGAAGGGGGGAGGGGGGGGTAAGAGCGATGAGCATGATGACGTTCATTTGTCACCTTCCGGTCATCGGCGACCAGCAATGAGTCATCAGCGCCGAAATGCGGCGGCGGTAGGATGCGTAAGGGGGAGAGTCTCTCTCATGTCGTGCTGGTGTCGAAGTTTCTGGAGAAAAAAGCAGCCGCCATCCGTCGGCCGGCTTTCTTCAAAGCGTTTAGAGCAAGGTGCGTTAGGAGAGCCATAAAACCGTAACGGACCATAGATTTAATTTAATGGCTGCGCTTTGATGTGCGGCCGCGCTCGGTTTCAGCCAATCAGCGTCAGCGGAGGCGGTGATTCTCGAACGCAATTCGCTGTCCCTCGACACCGATGCCGTCGTCGCAGCATTTTAGCACTTCGGCATTTTCTTCGCCAGCCGGAGCGTCGGTTCCGAGCGGCTTCTGTTGTGCATGGATCGAAGTGGTGTGAGGAGGCGCAAGAGGAGTCCCCACGTCGACCACGACTGCAGCGACGGCCATCGATTTGTACCACTGTCCACGCCTCCTGAAAACACCCCGTTTAGCACCTCGATTGGCTCACATACCCTGTGGTACCGAGCTGTGTGTTGGGTACACGATCACACACAATCGGCTACGGGGTGATTGAACCCTACGACGATAAGTGATGCTCAATCTCAATCGATATGCCGACCATAGTAGCAGCACTGGACCATGGCCACGTCTCTCGGTACACGTGTCGTAGCAGCCGCCGCCGGCGTTCAGCAGGGTAAGATTTATGACGCATTTTGTGTATTAGGTCGCCTTTTAGTGTAATTAGTGCGACTAATTGCACCGATGAGGCACCTGCATCGTTGCGCAACAGACTCTCGTCACGCGGTCGTCGGCGTCCATCAACTTTTGCCACTTACATAGTTGATAGTAAAAGGCACCATCAACCTCGTATACCTCAATTCGTGTGTACGCTTCTGTGCACCACTGCCGATTAGGAGTGGTGGCGGCAAGATATGCCGACCAAACTCTCGCTGGCTTGACAATCATATGATCGAAACGCTCGTTTAACGAGGCTTGCCGCGAAATGTCCGAAGTTCCTCGTTCGCTCGCTTTGTGCCGTCGGCTGATAGATATTTCCTGTGTGCTTTTATTGGATGATTGATGGTCATGTTTTACATTTAATAAAAACTGGACGTCACTCTTTGCTCCAAACGCACCTATCGTCGTCGTCACATCAGATCGTAACACACCGATCCGTCGACCGACGAACCACTGCGACGCATCTCTGCTACCTCTGCCGTGTTTTGTCGTCACCTTGCCGCGGCCCGTCGTTCACGCAGACGACAGTGACAACGATTCAGCTCCGGCCGTCCGTCCGTCCGTCCGTCCGTCCGTCCGTCACACAACTAGTCTTCACTTTCCCAACAACGTTTAACGACTGTTCCGACCGGGACAACGATCAGAGGACGACATCGGCGCATGGCCAGCGCCTCTCCCACATACGTAATGAGAGGAGCCAAAGAAACAAACAAAGTTTCTCTTTCTTTCTTCCCTCTATTCTTCCTGCCCCTTGAGCGATCTGAATGGACGGCGAAGGACACTTCAGCGATGTTCCCTTGTTTGTTCTGAAAAAAGGTTTTCGTTCACTTGGCAAAGAATTATAACTTTAACGGAAGAGGAAAAAAAGCTCTAAAAGGGAGTTACACTACTTAAACTTTTACCTAATGAGTAAGTTTAATTCCAAACAAATAAAGCGACTGGGTTTCCAGCCCAAAACCCATCGTCTTATGTAGCAATGGACATGAACGATGCGTTTTATACGTCGAGAATCTGAAATTTAACCTACTTTTCATGGTTTCACGGGTAGCTTTAGTTTT